TTATGTTGAGGAAGGAAGAGAAGAAGATGAAGGAGGAGGAGGAGGAGAAGAAGAGCAGATTATGTTGAAAAAGGAAGGAAAAGAAGAAGACAAAGGAGGAGGAGGAGAGCAGATTATGTTAAAGAAGGAAGGAAGAGAAGAAGACAAAGAAGGAAAAGGAGAAGGAGAAGAAGGAGAAGGAGAAGAAGAAGAAGAAGAAGAAGAAGAAGAAGAAGAAGAAGAAGAAGAAGATTGAGAGGGAGAGAGAGAAAGAATGAGAGAGAGAAAGAAAGGGAGAGAAAGAAAGAAAAAGATTGAGAGAGAAAGAGAGAGACAGAGGAAGAGAGACAGAGGGAGAGAGAGAAAGATTGAGAGAGAGAGATTGAGAGAAAGAAAGAGGAAAAGAGATTGAAAGAGAAAAAGAGATTGAGAGAAAGAGAGATTGAGAGGGAGAGAGACAGGGAGGGAGAGAGAGAGAGAGAGAAAGAGAGATTGAGAGGGAGAGAGACAGGGAGGGAGAGAGAATGAGAGAGAGAGAGAAAGAAAGAGAAAAAGAGATTGAGAGAGAGGAAGAGAGAGCGAGACAGGGAGGGAGAGAGAGAAAGAGATTGAGAGGAAAAGAGAGAGAGAGAGAGGGAGGGAGGGAGAGACAGAGAGAGAGACAAATCAAAACTCACAGCAGCCCCCGAAGCCTGCGCTGCAGGGTTGCTAGTTGCTAAGAATGTGGCGCACGTTCCTGTTCTCTAGTTTATGAGGTATGAGCCTGCAGCTCGCGTTTGATGCGCAGGTAATACTATGCGGTATTGTCTGCCTCGAGCACCCAGCCGCTGTGAGAAAGCGGTGGCAATCACAGGGCTGCCTGCACGAGCGGCGACACTTTTGATCCTGCCCAGAGTTCATTTTGACTCACTCGCTCCGCCAGACAAGCCGAGGACCTCTAACCACTCTTCTTCCTACCTTCCAACCACACAGAACTGTTCAGACAACAAACTGCACCGTTTTGTTTTGTGTGGATAAATCCTAGACTTCTAGATATAAATACTGGGGGTTTCTCAATATTTTTTTTTTTTAAAAAAATAAGTGTTCCGACTCAAAAGCCCATCTTCATCGCCGTCCTTGAGCTGGCTTTTTCAAAAGGCCGCCACTGTGTCGATAAGAGCTTCAGGGTTTTATTTCAGGACACTCAAGTCAATAGGCATAAAACTCGCGTGCCCGCACACGCAATCAAAAAGGAGAGAGCACTGAAAATCAGCCAAGGGCAGGGGTGAAATCCAGCAGGTTCTGGAGAACCTGTAGCGGAAATTTTGAGCAGTTCAGCGAACCGGCAGCGGAAATTTTGAGCAGTTCAGAGAACCGGTAGCGGAAATTTTGAGTAGTACGGAGAACTGGCAAATACCACCTCTGGCTGGCCCCCGAGTGGGGTGGAAATGGAGATTTTGCAATATCCTTCCCCCAGAAGTGGGGCGGGAATGGGGATTTTGCAATATCCTTCCCCCAGGAGTGGGGCGGGAATGGGGATTTTGCAGTATCCTTCCCCCAGGAATGGGGGAGGGAATGGGGATTTTGCAGTATCCTTCCCCCAGGAGTGGGGAGGGAATGGGGATTTTGCAATATCCTTCCCCCAGGAGTGGGGAGGGAATGGGGATTTTGCAATATCCTTTCCCCAGGAGTGGGGAGAGAATGCGGATTTTTCAATATCCTTCCCCCAGGAGTGGGAAGGGAATGGAGATTTTGCAATATCCTTCCCCCAGGAGTGGGGAGGGAATGGAGATTTTGCAATATCCTTCCCCCAGGAGTGGGGAGGGAATGGGGATTTTGCAATATCCTTCCCCCAGGAGTGGGGAGGGAATGGGGATTTTGCAATATCCTTCCCCCAGGAGTGGGGAGGGAATGGAGATTTTGCAATGTCCTTCCCCCAGGAGTGGGGAGGGAATGGAGATTTTGCAGTATCCTTCCCCTGCCATGCCCACCAAGCCACGCCCACAGAACCGGTAGTAAAAAAAATTGGATTTCACCACTACCCAAAGGGTTGACATTTGTTCGGAGGACTGACCTGGTCTGGTAGAACGCAAGGGGTTACACATCTTGGGCTCCATTCCCAAATCTTGGAACAATATTGAGGTCCTGTAAAAGCGAAAAACACATTCGTCGTATGATTTGGGGTGTGTGAGAAACAGAACAAGGCTAGGCAATAAGCCCTGAGGAATCATTTAAGGCAATGTTTCTCAATTGAAGATGCTTGAAGATGCGTGGACTTCAACTCCCAGAATTCCCCAGGCAGTGCTAGTTGGGGAATTCTGGGAGTTGAAGTGCATGTATCTTAAAGTGGCCAAGGTTGAAAAACACCGATGTAAGGATTAGAAAGAAAAGGACCAAACCCAAACTCGCTGTCGGACCTGCCACAACTCTGAATAAAAACGATCCTTGACTCCATTTGTTGAGAAAAGTATAGTTTATTAGAGATCAAATATATTGCATTGGCTGCAATAACTACTGTTTTCGTCAGTCCAAGAGTAGTTTGGTATGTGGCCCCCTCCTTTTCCCAGCTGAGTGACCTTGAGGCAGCATCTCAAGGAGATGCAGCAGTTACTTTCATTTCCCCAAGCATTCCCCCCTTCCCACAGCTCATGGGAGTCTGTCACCCACCCAAGCATTTCCCCCCTCTTCACAATTCATGGCTGTCACCCACCCAAACATCCCCCCTCCCCACAGTTCATGGCAGTCTGTCACCCCATAGTAGCTGAGTACAAGCAAGCGTAAGGTGGCAGCTGAAACTCACAGGTACAAGTTCCCTGTTCGAATGCACCATTTAGCATTCAAAGGTTAACAAGCCTTATTTAGAAAGACCAGGTTTCTAGATCTTATGATTACAGGGAGCAAAAAGGCTCTGTAAAGTGCCCGAGGTGCCCCTTTGCATCTTACCCATCGTATGCATCAATCCGGACGCAGCGACTTCCGTTCCAAGTCCAAGCACAGTAAGGATCCTTGGCGAGAATACAGTCCGAGCACGTCTTGTACTTGCTGCAATTGGCCACGGGGACCTGGATGACTTGTGTGTTGGAGCCGATAAAGAGGACTCTCTGAAAACAGAAGAGTTACAGGTCGTCCTTGCTTAATGACTGAATGAATGAACGAACAAACAAACAAACAAACAAATAAATAAATGTCCTTTGCAAACCCAGTATCAACCCTGAAGTGTGCCTGCCTGAGGCCATCTTTGAGGCTTCGTGGTTGCCACAAAGCGAAGGGGGGGAGAAAGGGAGGTGGGAATTTTAGATAGCTCGGCTTGGCCGTCAAAATAAAAAAAGTTCTTTTGCGGGAACCAAGGTCACTCCAACAAGTGGCAGAGAAGAGGAGGAGTGAAGTAACCAGGCAACCTGCTAACACTCTTCCCGGTCATATTGGACAATATGACCAATGACGGGAAGGGGGAACGTTTACTTTTTAATGAGGTGAAACCCGCGGGGACTTTCAGAGTCGGCTTTCACCACTTGTGCCGATACGACGTATCCAATAAATGGCTTTTTGAGGAATCTACCTGCCTCAAGAGTTCTGCTTTCAATGGGTGCGTTATTTGGAACGCGGACACCCAGACAGTGCCTTAGCCTGTTGGGTGACCCAAACCATCACACTAAACCAGCTGATTCACTTGGGTGCAGCCATGTGAGGGGAAACCCAGACATTCTGGTAAGCCACCTTGGCCTCGGGCTCAGCATAGTCTGCAAATCTGGGCCTCTCTGCTATGCCGCGCCTTCCCAGTTCCTGACGAGTAACTTTCTCCTCTTCTTCGATGGCTTTTGTTCTGCCAGATCCTTATCACCGACAGGCGCCTTTGCATAACAATTATCAGATAGAAGATAGTGGCTTTAAGATGCCGCATTTATTCTGGGTTGGGTTGGTGAGGACAGCCCTGGGATGGACGCATCAGTACTATCTGAAATGTCAACTTTATCCTAGGTATCAATTTTCCCTAGGAGTGTCTACAGAGGCCCACCATAACACCCCAGGGATGTGTCTGAAGGCACTGTCACACAAACGCAGCCTCCGAATTCCTACTTCCTGATGCCTGATGCAATAAAACTCATGGCACATGTGCCATGGCATCTCTGTGCCCAGGTCAGCCTGCCAGCTCCCTCCTGAGCCCCACCTGTTTTCCCCCATGGCAGTAGGCCTTCCGATTCTTCGCAAACAGGGTGGCCAAAGACTAAGAATTTTGGAAAGCTTTAGAATTCACCATCTCGGGACCTTTCTTACCTTCGGTACTGATAAGACCAGGCTCTTGATGGGTTGGGCTTCCTCAAAAACTTGCAGTTCTTCTATGAGATGGACACCTGAAGGCAAGGCCACCGCTTTGTGCAACCAACCGTTCTCTACAAAAAAAAAAGATCAGAGCAGGTTTTTCAATTCAGTGACTGCAAGAACCTTCCCCTCCTTAGGAGAGTTCATAGCTTGGTGGGAAAACACCAGCTTTGCATAAGGAATGTCAATCCCAGCATCTCCAAAAAGGCAGAACTAGTTCAGGGATGACTCCTAGTCATTGCTGGGAACTAGCTGGACCAAGTTTTGACTTAGCAGAAGACAAGCCACAAGGGGAAACGATACGGAAACCATTTACTGTCCTTAGATCTGACCGCTTCCTGTTGTGGCTCCGTCCTCTGAGCCTATCTTAACGGAGGAAGAAGGCTCCGAAGATGAAGGAGAGGAGACGGCCAGGCCTCCCTCTCCAGGACCCTCCTCTCTGGCAATGCCTCCGGAGGACACCGAAGGCCAAACGATAGGCTCAGAGCCAAGCCACAGGTGGACAGCGACAAGGAAAATAAGTGCTGGCTGGACCCTCGCCAGAGGCGCAGGGAGAAGCGTGCGCAGCAGAGGGGAAGGCGTGCCAGAGATTAGCTGAATCACTGGACCACACCCCACAGGCTATAAAAGGGAGTGTGGTGGCCATTCCGACTCTATGACGGACAAAGCTAATCTCTGGCGAAGCACTTTGCACCTTCGGACACAACACCTATTTTGCTGTGGATTTAATTACGAACTGGACTATTCAAACTGTGTGTATTTTTGTCTGTGTTATCGGAGTAAAAGCACTTGGCAGGCAGCCACGGAGTTGCTGCCAAGTTCCTTATCACTGACGTTGTGTGTTTGAAGAGTTTATTTAACCCTCGGCTGGCTGGCTGGTTGTGTGTGTGCTTGGTACGGGGACAGAACACTTCCCTGTCTCATCTCATTTTTTCTTTTGAAAATGCTTTTAATGAAGGGCAGGTGCCTCCTCGGGAAGAGGTGGTCTCACAAACAAGCTGGTCCTATAGAGTTTTAAGGATGACCATCAGCCCCGTGAATTGCACCCAGAAAGAAACCGAGGAGGCGGTGCAGCTGGCGCAACTGCAGTGTGACGTGAATAAATCAAGGAACACCCAAACACTGAGCTAACTGCCACATTCTGGACCAGTTGCAATTTCAGAAGGTCTTTCCAGACATGTATATAGCATGTCAGGAAGTGACCAAGGCACGAGTGATTGTGAGCAGGGCCTCCCAGTCTGGGGGCAATTGGCACATAAACCATGTAAAAGACCCTCTTGCCATGGCTACCACCTGCTCTTTGAGCATGAACCCCTGTTCTGACCTAGCTCCCTGAGATAGTAAAAAGCACATAATTAGTCCCCAAACCCCTCTTTTTATTTCAACAGCTGTGAATTCTGTTCATTCACAGCCCATAATGAGTCACAAATAGTTTGTGAAGAGTCTGACAGAATTCTGCCACAGTCTTTCCGGATAAGGCTGATAAGCACCCACCTTTATCTCCCTTGCCAAAGACCTAATTGTCAATTAGCTTTGCAAGGCCACACGGAGCACAGAGTCAAAACGGATCTTCAGAATTTAAACCGACCAGCATGAACAAAGTTGCTTCCTGCAAAGGCTCATGTGTCTTTGCTCCTCCTTTATGTCTTATGGGAAGGGCCAATTATCTTCAAGCCTTACTCCCGAGTCGTCCCTTTGCTTTAGCTGCTCTTGCCTTCTGGCAGCTCTGCGCATGCACACGCTGGGAACAGGCTCCCCCTGTTCCTCTGCCTCACTGACGTCAGACTCTGGAGGCTCCGGAGTCAGCACATAACTCCCAGATGGCCCTGGCCCCATCTCTGCCTCTGATGCACAGCCCTCATCCGAGCCTTCCCCAGACTCCAGGACTAGCCCATGTTCCTCCCCAGACTCCTCACTGTCCGATTCTGCTGCCAGCTCCGGCCGACCACAACAACCCCAGAAGAAGAAGAAGAAGAAGAAGAAGAAGAAGAAGAAGAAGAAGAAGTTGTTTTGCTTCTAATCAGTTCAAAACTAAGAATACTTCATGGATGAGAAGCAAAATGTCTTCAAGGAAAAATAAAGCCCAGTTGCCTTTTGAAAAAGCACCTTTGGGACAACCATGATCTGGATGGCTGAGAATCTCCACAAACCTCTAGCTTCTACCTTCTCTGTTTTCCATCCCCTTTCATCTTCCTTCCCTTTCTTCTAAAAAAAAAAAAAAACCCAACAACTATCTCAGTAGAAACTTTCCCCCATTACCCCTTTGGCTAATTTTGCAGACACTTCGTTCCATCTGGAGGCAAAAACCGAGCTGTGCCAAAATGACTCACTTGGTCTGGAATTTGTTTAGCGCTTCCCCTCCCTGGATTGCCTTGTTGAGCTGCAGCTAAAAAATGAGGAACAAGATCACTCTAAGACCTGCAGATGTTTGGAAGGAGATGAAGGCAGAGAGATACAAATCACTAATATCAGAACAGTCGAAAGATATACAAATATATAATTTTAGCATATTGCAGTGGTTATTTGTGGAATACATTGCCACGAGATAACAAACCGTTGAGGGGGGGGGTCAGATAAAATGGTACGAAAAGTTTGCGCCGAAGCCAACTGTGATTAAAAGTCCAGAAAGTTGTCTAAACGATTTCTTATTTAATGAAAAGAAGGACTAGGGGTGATGTGATAACAGTGTTTCAATATTTAAGGGGCTGCCACAAAGAAGAGGGGGGCAAGCTATTCTCCAAGGAACCAGAAGGCAGGACAAGAAGCAACGGATGGAAACTAATCAAGGAGAGAAGCAACCTAGAACTAAGAAGAAATTTCCTGACAAATTAGAACAATAAACCAGTGGAATGAAATTGTGGGTGCTCCAACACTGGAGGTTTTCGAGAAGAGTTTGAACAACCGTTTGTCTGAAATGGTATAGAGCAGGTATCAGCAACCTGCGGCTCTGGAGCTGCATGCGGCTCTTTGGGCCCTCTGCTGTGGCTCCCTGTCGGATGAGCCAACCACTGGCTGGCCCCACCCCTCGCCCTCCCCTCCCACTCTCTCCTCACCTGGCCTGAGAAGGTAAGGGCGACGGTGGGGGATGGAGAAGCGGCCAGGGAAGAGACAAGGAGATACAGAGAGAGGGGGAGAGAGAGATACAGAGAGAGTGGGAAGAGAGAGGGAGAGAGAGGGAGGGAGGGGGAGAGAGAGAGATGTCAAAAGGATTTTGTGGTTCCCGGTGTTTTTTAACAACCAGTTCTCTTGCCTAATAACCAGCTGGGTAGGCGTGGCTAGGGGGGTCATATGACTGGTGGAAGTGAGTGACATTGAGTTGGCCACGCCCACCCATGTTTTGTGGCTCCCGGTGTTTTCTTTTCTGTGGGAAATGGGACCAAATGGCTCTTCGACTGTTTAAAGTTGCAGACCCCTGGTATCGAGTCTCCTGCTTGGGCAAGGGGTTGGACTAGAAGACCTCGAAGGTCCCTTCCAACTCTGCTACTTTGTCCTTTTCAGTCCCGACACACCTGGATCATACCGAAAGCAAGCCATGTTATTATTTTTTTTTCTTTTTCCCTCCCGCACCTTGATGGCGTAAGCTGTCACCTTCTGTTAAATCAGGGCATCCATCCATGTAAAATAAGCTGGCATTGTCAGCTTTAAGTGACAGGAATTCTCCTGGGGTTGGAAACAAGATCACCTCTGTCTGGCCTTTTTTTACAAGAGTTGCCAGATACTGAAGTTGGAAATTTCTACGGGTAGTTTATCCTCAAAAATTTAATCAAAGCCTTGAGCGAGTTAAATAGCAGTGTCTAAGTGAGGCTGAAAATAGAAATGCTTTATCCCACTCCTAACAGATTGGAGTTTGCATCCCAGAATTCATCTCTCCCACATATAGCTCCAGAGGTCCTTTTTTTGCAGAAATACTGTGATTTAGTGGTTTAAAAAGTGCTATTATAACTGGGAAGAGGTCTCCACCCTTGACTACGGAAATTCAGGGAGTGACTTTGGGACAGTGTCACTTTAAGCCAGCTGTGTGCAGCGGCAGCCAAAAAAGACAATGCAATCCTAAATTGCATTAACAGAGGGATACAATCAAGATCAAGGGAGGTACTAATACCACTCTATAAAGCCTTAGTAAGACCACACCTAGAGTCCTGTATCCAGTTTTGGTCACCACATTATAAAAAAGATGTTGAGACTCTAGAAAGAGTTCAGAGAAGAGCAACCAGGATGATGATGGGACTGGAGGCTAAAAACATATGAAGAACGGTTGCAGGAACTGGGCATGGCTAGTCTAGTGAAGAGAAGGACCAGGGGAGACAGGATAGCCATCTTCCTATATTTGAGGGGCTGCCACAGAGAGGAGGGGGTCAAGCTATTTTCCAAGGCACCTGAAGGCCAGACAAGGAATAACGGATGAAAACTGATCAGGGAGAGATTCAACCTAGAAATGAGGAGGAACTTTCTGACAGTGAGAACAATCAACCCATGGAACAGAAGTTGCCTTCGGAAGTTGTGGGAGCTTCATCACTTGAGACTTTCAAGAAAAGACTGGACTGCCATCTGTCAGAAACGGTGTATGGTCTCCTACTTGGGCAGGGGGTTGGACTAGATGACCTACAATGTCCCTTCCAACTCTGTTAATCCAACCTTCAGAAGATCATGGTGGAGATCAAACAACAGCATGAAAAATCCCTGGGAAGTTTATCTTGAGCTCCCGAAGAACAGAGGTACATCAATTTAACAGAACAAAAATCCTCAAAACAAACAAACAAAACGAAAAAAATTCCAAGACAGAAAAATGGTTGCCATCTTGAAGTTGGCTTAAGCAACATTTTCTCCTCCAAGTTGCAAAGAGCTTCATTTGGTTGCCTCTTACTATAGCCCTGGGAGAACCACAACCATGGTTTGTTGGAGAACGGAGAACTGTGTGACGCACAGAAGGGCTTGATTGAACAAACCATAGTTCAGCAAGGAATTTCCTGACATAACAATTCATCAGTGGAACAACTTGCCTCCAGAAGTTGTAGGCACTCTATCACTGGAGGATTTTACGAAGAGATTGGACAACCATTTTTCTGGTATAGGGTCTCCTGCAGGATTGGACTAGAAAACCTCCAAGGTTCCTTCCAACTCTGTTAATAGAATCACTGAGTTGGAAGGGACCTTGGAGATCTTCTAGTCCAACCCCCTGCTTAGGCAGGAAACCCTACACCACTTCAGACAAATGGCTATCCAACCGCTTCTTAAAAACTTCCAGTGTTGGAGCATTCACAACTTCTGGAAGCAAGTTGTTCCAATGATTAATTGTTCTAACAGGAAATTTCTCCTTAGTTCTAAGTTGCTTCTCTCCTTGATTAATTTCCACCCATTGCTACTTGTCCTGCCCTCAGGTGCTTTGGAGAATAGCTTGACTCCCTCTTCTTTGGGGCAGCCCCTGAGATATTGTAAGACTGCTATCATGTCTCCCCTGGTCCTTCTTTTCATTAAACTAGACCAGGGGTCTGCAACCTTAAACACTCAAAGAGCCATTTGGACCTGTTTCCCACAGAAAAGAAAACACCAGGAGCCACAAAACTCTTCCCTTGCCTGACTATTTCTTGAGCGGCCACAAAACTAGCATATGTGGTTGAAGTAAACGTTCTGTTTTCTTCTGAAACTTTTCTTTTCTTGGATTTATCCATGGTTGGCCTACCGGGGATTGAAAAGCTCAATAAATCGTATGCCGGCGGGTGTCGCACATTGGCGGTTGGGATGCATATTTTGAGTGACAGGGAGCCACAGCCGAGTGGTGAAAGAGCCACATGCGGCTCCAGAGCTGCAGGTTGCTGACCCCTGAACTGCAACCGTTCTTGATACGTTTTAGCCTCCAGTCCCCTAATCATCTTTGTTGCTCTTCTCTGCACTCTTTCTAGAGTCTCCACATCTTTTTACATCGTGGTGACCAACATTATTATTCTGTTATTCCATTGAGCATCTTAACATGATCTACAAGGCCAGTTCCTCCAGGTTCTTGTTGTTGACCTTGTTTCAGAAGTACCTGGAGATTTTTAAGATTAAAAGGATAGCTGTCCACATCCAAATCAAGCATCTTCTCCTTAGATATCACCACTTCATTGCACAGCAATCTTTTTATTTCCATGCAGAGCCCACCAAACATGGAAATAAACCCAACTTTCTTTCACCAGTTAATTCTCCATCTAGTCATTCCCAGAAATGGATCCCTCTGCCCAATGTCAGAGGGCACCACAGCCATTTCCCTTAATTACCAAAAGCCGAGTAGAACTTGACCAAAACTGAGCATCGTGTCGTCATGAATTTAATTCTTGCGATGCTCTCGTGACCTCTGCGGCTGGAAATTCCTCTGCTCTTGCAGACGTTCATATTCTCCCCTTGGAAAAGGATTCGTTTTATTTATTTTTTTGTTCCATTTTCAAATGGGTTTGGCTTCGTTCCATTCCACATTCAAAGAATTTTGTCTTTCTCATCATCATCCTAAATGGGTGCCCTCAAGGCTTAATGACTCTCTCTCTCTCCCTCTCTCTCTCTCACACACACACACACATACACACATCCTATTCTGATTCTTAAGAATTTTATTTATGCTTCTGGAGCAACTCAGGGATGGTTCAATTGCATCGCTCTCTCTCTCTCTCTCTCTCTCTCTGATTGGTAAAGGCATGTATTAAGTTTCCACCCGTTCCTTCTTGTCCATCACCTAAGGGCAGAACAAGAAGCAATGGATGGAAACTAATCAAGGAGAGAAACCACCTAGAATTAAGGCGGAATTTCCTGATGGTGAGAACAATTAATCATTGGAACAGAAGTTGCCTCCAGAAGTTGTGGGATGCTTCATCACTGGAGGTTTTCAAGAAGAGATTGGACAGTCATTCGTCCAGAATGGTATAAGATCTCCTGCTTGGCTGTCCAATCATTT